ATATGTAGGCATTTTTATATTTATGTAGCCTACACAATAATAATCTTTTAAATTGTAATCCTTTAATTTTTAATATTTGGCATGTTTGTGTGCTGCTGCGCGTCACTGTGTGTGTAATAAGCAGAGTGCGTGTTGTGGACCCGCCTATACTTACGCGCTCTTTAAATAACAGCTATAATCAGCAGCAACATGTATATAAACCACGCGGTATTAAATAGACAGCTGGCACACAGGGCCATATTAACCATTGGGCTAGGCGGGGCTGAAGCCCGGGCCCCGAGCAAGGACAGGGCCCGTGATTGGCTGTGGGGTAAATTGACTGGCGCGCCGATCACCAAAGTCACCACGCCCCCCCCCCCCCCTTATTAGGCCGGTTATTTAGTTGGGGCGCGCCGATTGCCAAAGTCACCACGCCCCCCACTTATTAGCGCTGTTATTTAGTTGAGCTTTTCCGTAAATTCCATGCATTACATTTGAAATTGAAGCTTAAAGTCTGAATTTGGTTTACCAATCTAATGCATTTATTCTATATTTGCCATTTGAACGACATGTGCAAGTATCTATCAGGTGATTGCTGCCCAGTAGCCTATGTTTGCATTCACCTCCACTCTTCACTTCGTTCTGGAGTAATCTAGAAATGTTCGTGCAAAGATAATCCGGTAGAAATGTATTCATCGTTTTGCTCGTCAAGATGTAGGCTAAGCTTATCATTTAAACGCGTTTTAAGCAGGTTTTAAAACAAATGTTTTAAACTGTTAATGAACATTAAGCAGTGGGGCATAATTCATTCTGCTAAATACATGCATTAAGACGGTTTCAGCCTGATTAGCGCAGCGTGCACCTGCTCGTATTGCGACTGACTAAACTTTTTGCTCCTTGTGCTTAAACGTTCAAATACACAGTTATGTGTCAAAAATTCTCGTCTTTGCGAGTATCCTCGTAAACACAGTTATTTGTGTCTTAAATGAGCATAAAGATAAAGCATGTGTAGTGTTAGGCTATATGAGATCCTGGATTAGCCTCTATGATGAGATCTTAAAAGGATAGTTCACCCAAAAATGAAAATAGCCTGTCATCATATATCACTTTTGTCAAATAAATAAGAATGAATGTATATTGAATATATACAGTGAAGTCAAGACCATTCAGTCTATTTTTCAATTTTCTTTATACATCATAATATTATTCAGTGCTTTCAAGTTTTTCTAGTAGGCCGATTTCTTATGATCTTTGTTTTGTTGTCTTCAGTAAGCTTATTTTTTACTTAGGCTAGTATTATTTTTTGTGATATTGAAATTGGTAACAAAATTTATGAAATTTCAGTGCATCAAGAATTTTGATGTGGGATAAAAATCCTATTTAAAGCTTTATATATATCATTATTGTGATGGGGGGCCCTGCAGTAAGTCATAGCCCCGGGGCCCAGTGCAGTCTTAATGCGGCCCTGCTGGCACAATGTAATTAACATCAAAATATATTCACAAGAGCAAGTATATTGTTTGCACATGTTTATTTACATTAAAGGCAAAATAACTGAAATAATAAAAGCACAAGTATAGATCTGGAACTTCTTTAAGTCTGTCTAAATATCATTTAGTTATCATTAATATAATTTAATTGCAATGTCTTCTGGTCCATATCCTTTCCTTAGGAAGGTGTGCTAGACACTGATTAATGTAACATAAAAATACTATACATATTTATATATTTTGCTATTGTATTGTGGAGTGACACTTTCATAAACTTTTCTATACTCCTCTGATTATATAATGGTAAATATTACAATAACATAGCACAACAACAGTGATCAGCAATAATGATGAGCCTAATACTCACAATAAAAATAATAAGGTCATATAGATCATAACACAGTCTCGGAGGTAAGAAGTGGATTATCCTTCACCTGAAATGTTGGATCACAATAATTAGGAACCACAGTCTCCACAAATCCCTTCATTTGATTGGGATGTTCTCTTTTATTCTGGACGGCAAGGGCAGTAACTGTAAC